CCTGTAGCAGTCGGCCAATGTCCTCACGTAAGACGGGTCCATTCCTTGGTCGACGAGCGCTGACAGTATGACTTATTAGTCTCGACGCTGTCAAACACTTTCTCATAGTCAACGAGGGTTAAGACGAGATGTAGGCGATACTCTCGGCAAACTCGATTATCCTCGAAACTGTTTGGATGTGATCCACGCAGCTGAAGCCATGGCGAAATCCAGCTTGTTCTACAGATTGGGCTTCATCCAGTGTCCTTGGTATGCAAGCGAGAATAATCTTCGTAAAGTGCTTGTAAAGCACGCTCAGCAGGCATATTGGAAAGGAAACTCTATTATCATTTGTCTAGCGTACTTGTCGTGTTTCTTTTTGAGCTTCACAAAAAAAATGTATCTAGGATCCCTTTACCGCGAAGAGATATCCAGAGCAATTCTGCGGCTACAGGAAAAGACAGTCCTAACCGAGTTGAAGGAAAAATGGTGGAAGGTGAGATCTTTTATAAATAATATATAAAATATCCGTAGATTCCAACGACAGTGCAAATTTGAACAAAATCTACCATTTAGGACAAAAGTGTGGTATGTCCTGCCGTTGTTAAAAGAGGCACCGATGATGGTGGCAGCATTGGAGGAATTTTCATCATTTTAGTGGGCAATTTTCAAAATATGCGGCATATGCCTGACTGATGTTAAGTCGCATCCATTGTAGGTAATTGGACTCGGTGTCACTGTCATCCTCGTTGTGTGTGAAATGGCTTCACGCCGTGATGTCGTTGCTCAGGTGACTTTTCTTCTTCTAACAAAACGCAGATTTAAATCGACGACTGTACATCATGTAACCCCATGCCTTTGCTTAGAGCTTTTCATATTTGTGTCTTTGCTCAACTTCATCATAGGTGCACTGAATCATCTGCCGTAACTCGTTGAAATCTTGCGCAATAGGGTGGACGAGATGGCATAATCATAATACGAATTTCAACCGTTACTCTCTTTGATTTATTTTATACAACACTATCGCATGCGCCATCGAATCAAAAGACCTAAATAATCCTATATTTATACATGCGATTAAAAGAAGCTGAAATAATGATATTAATAGAAACAAGCCCCGGCCCTAAATTTTAAGCCGTAAGCATTCCTATGACAAGGGACATATGATAAAATT